TCCAGTCTGGGTGACTGAGTGAGACTCCAACTAAAAAAAATAAATAAATAAATAATAAGAACCTATATATCAAACCCTGTTAGGGGTCGAACTATGTCCCCTCAAATACATTTGTTGATATTTTAACCTCTAGAACCTCAAGATGTGACCTTATTTGAAACAGGGTCACTGCAGATGTAATTAGTTAACATAAGGTCATACTGAAGTAGGGTGGGCCCCTAATCTAATGTGACTGGTATTCTTATAAAAGGGGGCAATTTGGACAGAGACGTACATAGAGGTCATATGAATGTGAAGATGACCATCTATAAGCCAAGGAGAAAATCCTAAAACAGTTCCTTTCCCCATAGCTCTCTGAAGGAACCAACCCTGCCAACACCTTGTTTCAGACTTCTAGCGTTTAAAACTGTAAGATAATACAACTCTGTTATTTCAGCCATCCAGTTTATGGCGCTTTGTTACAGCAGCCCTAGCAAACTAATACAAACCCCTTCTTTTTTTAAATTTTTTAAATTTTTGACTATTCTGCTTAACTGTATCTCATTGTGTATTGTACTAATGTATTAATTTGTATCTTTATGAGTCAAGAAGTTGAGAAGTTTAATTTGCCTTGACTATTATCTTTAATGAATTACCTTTTAAAGCCTTTTGCCAATTTTTGTATGAGGTTTAGGTTTTTACACTGGGTTGTTTATCGATTTCTTCTTTTTTTTTATCATTTTTTTTTTTTTTGAGTTGGAGTTTCACTCTGTCGCCCAGACTGGAGTGCAGTGGCCACTCCCAGCCACCGCAGCCTCGACCTGCTGGGCTCCGGCGATCCTTCCGCCTCAGCCTTCCAAGTAGCTGGAACTATAGGCACGCACTACCACGCCCAGCTGATTTTTTGATTTATTGTAGAGATGAGGTCTCGCTGCCCAGGCGGGTCTCGAACCTGCGGGCTCAGGCAATCCACTCACCTCAGCCTCCCAAAGGCACGGGATTACAGGTTAAGCCACCGAGCCCGGCTATCAATATTTTTTATTATGATGTTGTGGGGTACAGTTAAGGGTTAGGTATACAATTACGTTTCATTCAGGCACCCTGTTGATAAGAGGTGTTTCCCCGTCCCCAGACAGACATTTGCTACTGTTAATCCCATCTCCCTCCGCCCCCCCCATAGTTTCCCAGTACCATCAGTCATTTTCTTATAGTATTACATTGGATGTTCAAGGTCCATTATATGAGTGAGAACATGTGATACTCAGATCTTTGTTTCTGTAAGAGGTCACTCAGTATTATAGACTCTAGTTCCATCCAGGTTGCTGCGAAATTCATGATTTTTTTCTTTTTTATGGCTGCGTAGTATTCCATCATGTATGTGTACCACATTTTTTTAATTCAGTCCTCTTTTGATGGGCAGCATGGTTGCTTCCAGGTTCTTGCTATTGTGAACAATGCTGCGATAAATATACGTGTGCAGGTATCTTTTTTTTTTTATAGAGTGATTTGAGTTCTTCAGGATATATTCCCAGTAGGGGGATTGCGGAGTCATATGGGAGGTTGATATTTAGAGCTTTTAGGAATCACCACACTGCTTTCCACAGAGGTTGCACTAGTTTACACTCCCACCAACAGTGTAGAAGTGTTCCCTTTTCTCCACACCCTCTCCAGCAGCTGTTATTTTTTGAGTTGTTGATAATTGCCATTCTGATTGGAGTTAGGTGGTATCTCAGTGTGGTTTTGATTTGCATCTCCCTGATGATTAGTGAGTTTGAACATTTCTTCATGTGTCTGTTGGCTGCTCGGATGTCTTCCTTTGTGAAGTGTCTGTTCATATCTTTTGCCCATTTTATAATGGGGTTGTTACAAACCCCTTCTTGATGCATGCTTTTTCACTCAGCCGGCAACATCAAAGGGCAATAATCTAGCAATTATTCCTTGGTTGACCTCTGTATCCCTTCATTACAGGGTCATGAAGCCTGGATGGGTCTTCTTCTGTAGCCCCTGAAAAGTGGGGCAAATAAAGAAGGATGTGCTATGTTCTGAATGTTTGTGTCCCCCTAAAATTCAGTGTTGAAACCCAAACCTAAGGTAATAGTATTAGGAGGTGGGGCCTTTGGGAAATGATGAGGTCACGGAGATGGAGCTCTCAAAAACAGGATTAGTGCTCTTATAAAAAAGACCCAAGAAAGATCTGCCTTGATCTTGGATTTCCCAGCCTCCATAACTGAGAGATAAATTTCTTCTGTTTATAAGCTACCTAGTTTGTGGTATTTTTGTTATAGAAGCCCAAGCTAAGACAGGGTGTCTTCTTGCCCTGGTGGCATGGGTAAACTTCCAGCTTGAGAAATCTCCAGACAAGAAATGATCCCCAACTGCCTGTTTTCAGCATCACCCCCAAACCTCACCCAGTAATTTTTACTCTCCCTAAGAATAATCAAGGTAGGAGAAGGAGTATTGTTCTCTATGTTGACTTCGTATTATGTCATCTTAAGTATTCTGAAAATACTGTTTCCTAGAATTGCATCCTCCACATAGTTCTGGCTTATAATGACACATGATTGGGAGAGTAGATGTCAAGCAAGAGCTATGTTTATGCTTAGGTCTGTGTGAGGCCACTGTGCAACACACACTCACTGGGGATCTGCTGGTGCACATCGTTGATATAAGCTAGCAGTCAGGTGTAACTCCTTCAGCTCTTGTCATGGATCCTCCTTTAGCTTCTCTAATTCCTACATCAGGTTGTGTGTAGCTCCATTGCAAAGTGAACCAGTAAGCTTGGAGACAGTGAATGAGCAGTATGGCTTAGCTAAAGCTAGACTTCCCTGTGACGTATACTGCATTGTCCAAGGTGGCCACAATAGCATTACCCACTCCACATGCTTTTCTGGCCATGTGATGACATTCATATTGAGCTATGGGTCTCTGTTCCCTCCTCCTGAGTCTGGATGTCTCTGTGACAGGGTGATGCTGTGCGACTCTGAGGCTAGGTCGCTCCACCTGATCTTTCTGGGGGCATTTGTTCTTAAAACTCCACTGCCATCTATGAGGCATTCCTGGCACATGAAGAGACTACCTGTCAGTATTCCAACTTACAGCCAGCATCAGCCATCACATGTGAGTGAGGAAATGCCTCTAAGGTGACTCTGGCCCCAGAGTTTTCTAACCATACAGCGTGAGAGACCCCAAGCTAAGGCAATCCAACCCCCAGAACTGTGAGAGATGAGACCATAATTATTGTTGGGTTTTTTGTTTTAGAATTCTACTTTTAATTTTCAGTTTGATTGTTGGCCTCGGAAATATTTGTTAAAGATTTTTATTTTCTTTTTTGTTTGTTTTGTTTTTTAATTTTTTTATTTTAAAGATGTGGGGTACAATTCAGGGTTAGGTATACAAATGTTTGTTTTGCAGGTATCCTTGTTGATGAGGTGTACCCCCACTTCCCCAGGCAGATTCTCAGGATGGGCAGTATTATTGGTTTTAAGTAACTAAATGTTGGTGTGGTCAGTTACACCTACTAGATAATTGGATCAGTCTCTTTTTGTGTGTCTATTTACAACTCTGATCTCCCAAAATTCTCTCCTGTTCTCTTCTCATCCCCGTTCAACAACTGAACCTCCAGTAGTGGAGAGAAAACAAGTTGTTTGGTTTGCGTATCATTCCTAGTAGTTTAAAATTTTTATTTCAGGCTGTAAATCTCATCTTTTTTAATGTGGGAAGGTGAAAAAAGAACTCTGTTTAATATTTCAGATTATTGCCACATTCCATTCTTGTAGAGGCATTAGGACTCAATAAAAATGTATTTAAGAGACTATAAACACTTTCTATCAATAGATTAATGGATAAACAAAATGTAGCATGTACATACAATAGAATATTCAGTCATAAAAAGGAATAAAATTCTTATACATGCTGCAACATGGATGAACCTTGACAACATGCTAAGTGAAATAAGCCAGACACAAGAAGATGAATACTGTATGATACCACTTATACCCAGAATGGGTAAATTCATGGAGATAGAAAGTAAAATAGAGTTTACCAGGGCTTGGAGGAAGGGGAAACAGGGAATTATTATTTACAGAATTCAGAGTTTCTGTTTGGAACGAAGAAAAAGTTTTGGAAATAGATAGTAGTGGTGGTTACATAACACAAGTACAGTGATGAATGTACTTAAAGCCACTGAATTGTTAAAAATGTTTGCATTGGTAATATATATAACCACAGTTTTTAAAAAAAGACTATAAACACTTGACTCTTTAATTTATCAAATTTGTTTGACCAGTATTTGCTGAATTGCTACTCAGTGCCAAGCACTATGAAAAAATAAACATGACTAAGACATTGACAGCCCCTGTCCTGTAGTCAAAATCCTACCTTTTTCTAAAGGCCTAGTGTAGATGCAACTACCCCTTCATTAATTTCTTTCAACAAGAAACTGTAATGGACATAAGAATAAATAAGTCATGATTCTAAGTCAAGAGTCTAGTATCTACCTAGGGAGATGAAACACATGCCCTAAAAGGTAAGACTACTTACCTTGTACTATTTTTTTGTGATAAATAGTATTTAACCAATAGCAAATCCTTGGAGAGTTGAGAGTAAAACAGTCACTCTACCATGGGTGGAGTGGTAGAGGATTCAAAGGGGGTAGGACTTTGAGGCTTAGAGGAAGCCACAGCTTGATCAGTGGGGAGAAGTGGGGGATGTTATCTGAGCAAGACAGCAGCGTGAGCGCATTGGAAGGACAGTGAGTAGCCATGTTTACAGCTTTTATAGTTGATTTATATAATGCAGAATGTACCTTTACCTTAAAATGTTATCTTGAAAGGATAGTATCTAAAGAGGGATACAAACCATAAGAAATGTACATGTTTTCACCAGAAGGCTCATTTTTATTTTGTTTTTCTTTACCTGTTCTGTGTATCATAGTCTTACTTTATATTCTTATTTGAATGACATCTTTATATTTTTCTTTTCCATCAAGAACATTATCACATTTTTATAACCTCTATCCTCAGGAAAACAAAGTCAAGTTGCCCAATTTGACTACTAAAAAAATGTTCAAGACATCTCTGACTGAAGCCACTTCCATAAAACCTGCCTTGACTCAAAACCTTCTATCACGTTCAGTAGCAGCAGACCACAAGGTGGAGCTTTCAGCTAGTCAGCCAAAGTCAAGCACTTTCTCAGCTCTGCATCTGCAGCCAGAGTTTCTTCTGGGTAGAAAGAAATCCCTGTCTAACAAAGCATCACAAGTACATTTGGAAGTATTAAAGCCCAACAGAGGAAAGACCCAAGTTCAACACACAAATCTTAGCTCCCAGAGTAACATCACCCCTAAATTCGTACCAGTTTTCAAAAATAGATTGTTACAAGTGAACAAAAATATCTCAGCACTTGGCAACCTGAAAAGAAAACAGCATGTTGTTACAGACTCTAAATTGTTTTCTCTTAAAACTAGCATGATTCAGGATGACAAACTGAATTTAGGTCCAACAATTAAAAAAAGATCTATTAGTAACATTCAGATGCATGCTCGAAATCTAAATCAGAAGAGCTCCAGACCTCTACAAGAAAAAAATGCTGAGTCCTGTGACAGTATGGCAAAATTTCCCTCTTCTAATGGAAAATCAGCTGTGAGTTTGAATGAAAGTAAACAACTATCTAATAGTGCGGTATTTCAGATACCAAATATCAAAGTAGGGATGATAAAAAGTACCACTGACTTCCAAGAAAATAGAAAAGAAAATTTAACAAACAAATGCGCAACACAAATTTCAGGGAAAGGCCATGAGTCATTACAACTGAAAAGACAACCACACATTTTTGAATCAGACACAGAAATGGAAGGTCCCCAACTGCTACTGCAACAATCAGAAAATCAAGTTAAAGAAGTTGATGTCAGAGATCACAGATTGATAGTAAGCAGAACAGCCCACAGATCTGAAAGGAAATTATGTCTAGAGTCTTCAAAAACTTCAAAGAAGCGCCATTCCAGTACTATCTATTATGGGCAATCCAGTTCTTCCAACAACCAGGTATATGCTAGCCCTTTAAATCTGTGGATGAGGATTTAAATGATTTGCCTGAGATTATCTAGAACCATACTAAGAAACAGAGGCCATGTATGGTGCTTCACGCCTATAATCGTAGCACTTTGGGAGGCTAAGATGGGAGTATTGCTTGAGCTCAGGAGTTTGAGACCAGCCTAGGCAACATAGCAAGACCTTGTCTCTACAAAAAATAAAAAAATTAGCCAGGTATGGTGTCACACACCTGTAGTCTCAGCTACTCAGGAGACTGAGGCAAAAGGATCGCCTGAGCCCAGGCGGTGGACCTGTGGTAAGCCACAATCATGCCACTGCACACCAGCCTGAACGACAGAGCAAGACCCCAACTCAGAAGGGAGGGAGGGAGAGAGAGAAGAATATCTACCCTAGCAACTCTAAGTATATGCAGTTAATTTGTAACAAAATGCTGTTCTTCAATCTGATACAGATGGATGACTTTGATCAATCAAAACCAAAGAAATCTCTCATCATTCCTAATGCTTGGAAGTGAAAGAAGAAAATGTACAGTAGGTAACTGAGGTAATATCTTTTCATTTTTATATTCTTTTATTTTATTTTTACATTATCTGAATTGCTAAGCTTAGGGATTCCCAAACTCTTGCTAAGGAGGAGCTACCTTTAAATTCTTGAAATCTTAATATTAGCAAGGAAATAGAAAATGATGAGAACTGTATGCCCCTTGAATCAGGATTACACATAGCAACTGTTTTGTAAAGACCCCAGGGAGGGCTGGGGTGTGAGTGGTCTCGCCATGGGCTCCCACGTATTCTGGGGATCTTGGCAGACCACAAACATGCACAGCAGCAGCAGGCTGCCTAAAGATAGACAACCCGGATGGCTACTTTTGAAGACTCTTACCCAAGATAATAAACCTTAACTGATGTTTCAAGGTTAATTATTTGTTAAAATTTACTGCAAAAGTGCTACAGTGCTGGCTAAATTTAAACTAGAGATTCAGTTGATAATGCTGAGTCCATGGCACGGAATCTGCAAAATCATGCATCTGGAAATTACATTTTATTCTCTTCTGCCATCTGTTCTATTAGTATAAGAGCAAACATATTGCTAAAATATCCACAGATACTTTTTGCATAGAACAATGGAATTCTTTTGATTCAAATTCTTTAAGAACCAACTAGAAAACATTTTCTCTTCCAAATGCTGTTTTTTCTATACTAGGATTTCCAGCCTGATTATAGTTAAACAAAAGGTTTTTAAGTCTATCCCCATGTATGTTATAATGTTGTGTTTTATGTAGTTTTTGACATCTTACATTTTAACGTACTCAGTGAGTAGTTGAGGAAAACTTTTATGTGCTTGAAAAATGTTATTTGCATTTTTATAAATAAATGAAATCTATTCTAGATTTCATATTGTTTTAGAAGTATAGCACTTCCCCACTTTAAACTAATTAAGACCTTACATGATTTTTAAAATTTTATTTGTATAAATTGATAGGGCACAAGTGCAGTTTTGTTACATAGATATATTGCACAGTGGTGAAGTCAAGGATTTTAGAAAATTCATCACTAGAGTAATGTAAATTGCACCTATCAACTAATTTCTCATTTTCTGCCCATCTCTGACTCCCCTATTCTGAGTCTCCATTGGCTATTATTTCATGCTCTACATCGAGGTGTATAGATTATTTAGCCCCCACTTACAGGAATCATCCTAGAAAATAGTTGCCCCCTAGCCAGGTGTGGTGGCATGTGCCTGTAGTTCCAGCTACTTGGAAGACTGAGGCAGAAGGATCACCTGAGCCCAGCAGGTCAAGGCTGCAGTGGTGGTGAGTGTGCCACTGCACTCCAGCCTGGGCGACAGAGCGAAACTCCAACTCAAAAACAAAAAGTTACCTCCAAATAATAAGTAAAATTAATACATACTCCTGTAAAAAGTTAGAGTAATACAGAGCGTATTTTTTTTTAAGTTTAAAAAACTACCTGGAATCCCTCTTTGCAGAGATGATCATTTTGAACATTGGGTGAACACACTTTCAGATGTCTCTCATACTCCTGTGAGCAAGGAATCAGCTCTACATGCTGCTGTGGAACCTTCTTTTAAACTCCATTCATTTCTTTTAATGTTTACATAGCATTTTGTTATAGTAGGTGTACTGTATTTAACTAGTCCTATATTGTTTGACACTTAAGCTATTCCCACTTTTGCCCTGTTTTAACTATGTCATGTAAGTTAATTCTCTTGTACAAATCTTTGCACAATATCCAATGATCTTATGTAGTAGTTTTGATAGTTGGAAATATCTTTACTTGGCTCTTACTATTTTTATTTTTAAAATTTATTATTTTTATTAGAAGTTTTAAACTACACAAAGTACAAATAATAACATGAAGAACCTCTAACTACCTGTCACCCAGATCTACTAACTATTAATATTTCTTCCACTGTCTTTTCTGTGCTTCACAGATACACTTTTTTGCTGTAATATTTTAAATCACACTTAAAATATCATATAATTTCACCCATAAATGTTAACATATACATCTCTAACATAAGGCATAGTATATTTTTTAAGGAAAAAAATGGGTATTTAAAAAAAGGTGTATATTACTTTTAGGGGGTGTCTACTATATCCCTTTTGACTCACTAAATTTTACTTTTTAGTTTTACATGCAAGCTAACAGGAAGGCCTGAATAAATATAAAACCTATTTTACAGTGGAACTAGAGATTTTATTAGGGTGGAGAATTCTGTGTCCAGCAATGTTCATGAGTATCTGCTATATGCCAGGCAGTGGGTTAAGCACTGTGTCCACTACTGAAATGTACAAGACAGCCAAGGCCTGAGTCCTGAAGTCTGGTGGTCCAGTCTCTACCAAATCTATTCTGGCACAGGCTTAGGGATATATATATATTGACAGACATGTCCAGAATGACCTTCTGGTCTATGTTGCAAATAAATTATCTAATGTTTTGGGGGGGGGGGGGAGAAACAGAAATAGAGCTTCTCAACTAATGAGTATTATTCTGGCTTTCAACATTTCAGATGTTTAATTTACAAAATATTATATAATTGTAATATATTTAAAAAGAAACCAAAAATCTTCATTGAATATTCCACTAAAACAGTCATTAAATAAAAATAACCAGTAGAGATCCAAGTATAAGTCGAACTTTGATTTTGTAAATGTGATTTTCTTTCTCTACCACTTCTTTAAATCATTGCATTTAAAAGCAAAAATAAACATGACTCCTTCAAAACTCTAAATGTAACTCTTGTACCTGAAATTGTTTACTTAATTTGCTATATACCTTTACTGTAAGCATTTCTGTTTTCCAGAATTATCTCTATTTACCAATTATTTTGGCATTTTCATAAGGACATGCCTTGACTAAAGCTCGTTTTGAGTGTGTCTTTCTCATTCTAAAGCAGGTATTATAGATAACTTAATAGACTGCTGTAAGGAGTGGTAGGTCATTTTGTTTGTGAAGCCGTGGGGAAAGTATTTGTTTATGAAAGTAAGGTTAATAAATATGCATATTTAGTCAGTGCAGTCATCCACAGCATGTAGTCATTCTTAAAACCAGCCTTCCCCACTGCTCCGTACATTCCCAGACCACCTTCCTGCTACTGACCAGTCATTATGCCTTATGCAGTGAAGTCTTAGTTTATTATTACACTAAGAAAAATAATTAAAAAGATAAATCTACTGCTGAAGTAGTGTGTGGTATCTTCCAGTTCTTTATATAAATAATCTTGATAGCCCCTTCTACTCCATTAATGTCTAAAATTTAGAATTTATAATATTTCATTTAGATAAATGTTACACTACATGGCAAAACCTGCTATGTTAATATATCTATTTTCTTTATATAGTAGACTTATTTTTATCTTATAATATTTATCCTAGTGAAAGTTTTAAATATATATGCATATATAAATATGTATACATATGTGATTTAATATAGATAGGAAGATAGATTGCTTATTGATTTAATATTCCATGCTTAGAGAAAAGGTTCTAGATCAAATTTCTGTGTTCAGACCAGATAAGTCAATGAGATTTTGATTCATTTTAAAGATTGCAATTCTTGAAAGCCAAAATAATTTCAAATCTAAGTAGAGAAAACTAAATGTTACTTCTTTAAGTTTGGGGTGATTTATATGCAATGTGGACCACCCCCTTCCAAAAAAATAAAAACAAAAGTTCTACACATTCCAGTTATACATTGCTTTTAAAACCATTATAATTTTAAAACCATAAATACATGATTTTATGTTTGCCTATATCCAGGAGCTTAAAAAATCAGCCATTGCATTAAGAAATGTGTGGCCATATGTGAGAATTAATGCCACGAATCATATTTATAGAAATGTAAAAACGCTTCTTATGTGCTACTCATATATTAAGTTTCATGGTATTGATTATTATATTTTGTTTTGATTTATCTTTTTTTACTATATATTATAATTGTATTATACATTTTTATTTGTATCTGTTGCTTACTGTACCATATAGGTTTTTTAAAAAAGGATGTTATTGGCTAGCTTTTATTTGACTAACCAGTTTGTTAACTAGTTTTTGCTCTCTTTTTTCAAATTGCATATGATTTGGTGCTGAAATTGCCACTATATTAAGTATTATTGATACTTAAGAAGGATCAATATTTATAAATATTTAAGGATGTCATGATTCTTACGTATTGATGCTTAAAATGTTTATGTTGTATCCTACATACCCCCCTCTTTTAAATAAAAAAAGATATTTCAAATAGATGTATTTTTCATATGTCAAAGCTATATATTGAAATAGAAAGATTTTGATAAATTGCTAATTCATTTTCCTCTGTGGTCCATTTCTTCACATGCATTAGCTGTTCGATCCATTTAAAATAGCTTATTAGGTCCTCACTACTTCATAGAACTATTATTCTTAAAAATTCTTCATTCTTTAATTCAACAGATAGTAAGTATTTGCTATGTGCCAACACTATTATAGATACTTGGGATGTATCAGTGAACACCAACTTTACATTCTAGCAGGAAGAGACAGTTGATAAACATTAAGTAGGTAATTGTGTAATGCATTAGAAAGTGACAAGTATAATAGAAAAAAAGAAAATAGAACATGGTAAGGTTAGGGTAGGCTCTGAGCAGAGACCTGAATGAGGTGAAGGAGTTGGCCACATGGATATCTGAAGGTTGAACTTTCCAGACATAAGGAACAGCCTTCATATTCAAGAAACACCAGGAAGCCCAGACTGCCTTGAGTAGAAGGAACTGAAGAAAGGAGGCGCTAAGACCTGATCACGCTGGGCCCTGTAGGCCACGGTAGGGGCATTGACTTTACCCTGACTAAAATGAGATTGGGACCAAAGGAGTGGTGTGGTCTGACTTAGTTTTCTACAGGATCTTTCTGGCTGCTGCGTTATGAGTAGGGGAGTGTAAGAGAAGAAAACAGGGACACCAATTAAGAATCTAGACAACAGATGACAACGATGGGTGGCACCACTATGATAGCAGTAGAGG